ATTCCACCTGTAAAAGTAGCCATTACGAAAGAAAAAAATATTTCGAAACAAATACTTCTATATGAACACTAAATTATACAGAAGATACTTTTCTTTACTCAGTTTGTATTTAAAACATTCGTTGTGGAATAAAATCAGATATCATTCACATGAGTTCTACTTTAAATGAATGATAACAAATTGCACTTACATGGAACACTGTCATCCTCACTGGTATACATCGATGTTTCGCCGTAAGACACTTGCCTTAAGACTCTTCAGTTAGCATTCACAATCGTCCTCCGATTATTCTTTTCCTTTCTTTCCTCATCATTTTGAAGAAGTTTATCCCTTACCAACCAACCAACAAACATCCATTTTTATATATATAGATGTGAATATAGCGACAAGATTTTATAATACTACAAAGTGTGTAATGTAATGAATTGATAGGTTTGAATTCATTTAAAATTTATTTTCATTTTTTATATAAAAAAGTACATTTCGCGATAAGCTTTTATATCATATAAATTTTGTAATATAATAAATTGATGGATTTGAATTAATGAAATGTTACTTCGAAATAAATGTACATACAAATGCCATCTTGAAAATAAAACAAATGCCGTTTGTTAAAATTCTATTTATTTAAGAAATATGTCAATACAAATTTCACTGTATAGAAAATTACATATTCGTAGTAAATTTATTCAAACAGATTAAGGTACAAAAATACTTAAAAAAATAAATAACTTCTTTCATACATTGTTCATAGTCTAAGTTGATAATACTCCGAACTAAAAACTAATCAACAATCAATATATTACAAAATATTTACAGAGTCTCCGTTTTTGTACATATCACTTCTGTAAAAGTCATAACAAAAATCAAACATTTACGATACTATTCAATGTGTAGTCGAAATCCTTCACAAAACTTTTTCAACTCAAATCTGTAGTAAACGAATATCATAATCTAAAATTGACTAAAATGGCATTATATTATGAATATTACATTATATTGAAATTTAGGTACTCAATAATCAACTCTAACTATTGGCAATGAAAAAATAAAAAACAAATTTTGATTTTTTAATGCCCCAATATCTCATTTTGGTGACAACTTTTTATCCAGCAAATTTTTCTATGGAGGTATAAAATTGTCTCCCATATTTCTGGACGTTGAACATTGCCAGCTAAATTATAAATGTTTCCATTGTTCTCTTGATATCACACAATTACTTTTTTCACACACAAAAATATAATATGCCATGAGAGGATTATTATTGGTAATCTCAAGAATGTATGTTTTTTCACAACAATCTCCAGAACCAAAAGCCAGAATTAAAGTTTTGAATGATTTAATAATAACACAGTGTTAAATTGGCGTAGTTGTCTGGCTTTCAACAGAAAGGTCTAAGTTCCACTCCTAATGTGAACAAATATTTTCCACAGAAGATGTTTCAACCCTCATGTGATCAGATATTTTTCACACAAGAATTTTTTAAGTTGAAAGTGGATTCATTCTGGTACAGAAACTGCAAATAATCATACTTAATGTTTACTTAATAGCTCAGGAAGTTATAAACAAGGGACTAATGAACATCTTGGTCAATATTGAATTCTATGTCCCAGTTGAAAAACTATATATTTTACAAATCATCATAGAATTGACTCATGTTTTATATGAATGGACTGACTGACCAGTTACTTGTTGAAAATGAATAACACTATCCATGATAATAATTAGACAATTTTCATTTCTAGACGCTGAGGATAATGTGTCACTTCCAAAGCCAGAACTTTTTGAACAAGTGATAAAAAGCCACCAAAATCCAGTTCAAATTGAGAGATTGTTTGTAAGGTTTAGAGATTGTTTGTTAGGTGCAGAATTTTTCAATACTTCTGAAGATTTCGGAAAGAACAGTTGGAGACAATGAAACTGGTATCTAATGTTTTGAGTTTGAAAAAAGTTTATATTCAATTGACAATTCATAAAATCAGTTCTTGAGTTTGTTGGCAAGGTTATAAATTCTTTACATTCCCACAACTTAGTCTTACAAAGAGAAAAGAACATTTCTTTAGTCCCCGAGTTTCAAATGAAATGGACCTAAAGACTGTTTGCGATATGAGGGGAATAATACGATTTTCAAAACTATCAGAATTTTTCATAAATTCGTTTTTACCAAAAGAGTATGAGAGTTCGACTTCTAAACAAAATTATATGACATCGGCAAAACAACTCTCATGTAATGTGAAGTTATGACTGAACATCATAAAAACAGATTTTGACATATTATTTTTATTGTATGTTGAAAGTTCAAAAATATCTTTCTGAAAATATCAACAGATTTGGAACCTAAGAATAGAGAACATAAAATATAAAATTATAGAACCAAATGCATGGACTCTATTGCATTAATGAAGACCCCCAATAACAGTATTTTTCAAATATCGTCCATGCACAGACAATGAAAGTTGGATCATCAAACATTTATCAGGAAAGATTGTCAACTACATTATAGTATATTTCAATTGGAAAATATTTTGTCATTCCTTTACTCTCAAAGTACTTTCAAAGTAATCACACTTCAGTTCAGACTTTCCACTCTTTCTATTGAACTTGGAGACATCAGCAATTCATTTTGGATCTCTTTGCATTGAAAATTAACTTGTTCCCGTAAGTAATTTGATTTGCATCTTATACTTCTCTACTTCCTGTTCTTTCCTTCTTAACTTGATCTTATATTCCTCTATCGTATTCTGAGCTTCAATTAGCTGGTTCATAACTGACTCCATGTCATTCTGCGAGGGTTTGTCCGCTTGACCAATCATTACAGCATCCCCAGAAATCTAAATAAAATAAATTCTTTAAATATGGATACTAACCAAAGGAATTTAAAATTGAAGTCAATGTTTGGCAAAAATTATGCAATGGGAGAAAGCAAATTTCAATTGTTGGGGTAAATTAATAACATTCCACATATGTATTACAAATTTAAACAAAGTGACTCACTTTTTTAAGTGAACCGCCCTCAATAACAAACTATATACAGAGTCCAAAAGTGTTGCATTCATAATTCTATTCCAGTTCATTGTTGTAACTTCTGGACTGTGCTGTCTTTAACAAGAACAACTCTAAGTAGGAAAAGGCAATGGCATCTCCCCTTAAGAAGATGTCATCTATAGGATCGACAGAAAACTCAAAACAAGAATATCAATGATATTTCTTGCCAAGTGAAGATTCGAGATGATGACGAATGAGATGTTTGCCAGATTTCCATCTGACAAGGTGCAGCTTGTCTTTTTCAGGAGGAAATCTATTTAATAAACGTTTAGATGAATTCCTGAAGATATCCAAAATAAACAACTATTTGAAACCTTTACTGGAATAGTATTGACGTTATTTCCTTTTTCCAGATGATGTCATACTTTTTTTGAGTTTTTTAGAACTATTGTGCACTTTTAATAAACAGATCCTATGTGGTTGTAGTTTAACTGTTATTATATGGTTTTTATACTTTTACTTTTTTGTTTTTATGCCTGTTAGGATACTTTCTATTCCAATGAACTCGTTCATTCTTTCATTAAAAGTAGATAAGAAAAGTTTTTTTATTTGTTTCATCAAAATATAAAACTTTCAAAGGATCAATAAATAAAAAATGAAAACCAAAATACATTTTTTTAAATCAATTACTACAAAAAATACTTTTCTATAAACTTATGAACATGAAAAACCACAAAAAAATTTGATTTGCTAACATGAAACTTGCTGTTTAACTCAGATATGAACTGACACTCGCTATATTTTTTTTAACAATTCAAACGATCAGTGTGATTAGTTTCTAATAACTTTGTCTGGAAATGAAAATCTAAACTCAAAAAATTGAAATTGTATCGAATGTGCATATTACTTGGAATACTCACCCTTGTGACAGTAGAAACGGGTGTAAAAGTGGAAAGAGGTGTCTTAGAAGATGATATAGGGATTAGTTTATTTTTCCTCATTACCACCCGTTTGATGGGACCTCGTGAAGGTACCACCTTCAGTTGGTTGAAGATGTTTTTGTTATTGGTCATCGCCAAAAACTGTTCAGGAGTAATTGTCACAACTTTCTTGTTCATTTTTAAAACAGGTGGTTGTTGCTGCTTTTGTTGTTTCTGTTTTTGCTGTTGCTCAGACTGTTTAACAGAATTCAGGACTTCTTTCCCAATGTCTAAAATAATAAAAACAAATTTTTTTTCATACCATACAGGCTTAGGAAAGTAATCAGCACATCTACAGACTGACAGACCATTGATAAAAAATAAATGACTGCAGTAGTTTTGAATAGATTACGGACTTACTGAATGAAGGGTTTTGTACTGTTGATTATACATTTACACTTGTTGAGCAAACTAATGACTGTTTTTATTATAAAAATTTTTGAGAAACTACAGGAATTTATCTCCTTTGCATGTAGAGATCACTTTCCAGAAAATGTTTTTTTTTTTCATTTTCTTGTCCCATTATTTTTATCGTTTTCGGTTAGGAGAAATCCCAGTCGTAATTAATATCTGAATTAATAAAAGCTGTATGAGAACTTTTGGTTTTTTATTAGGTAGAAAAGCCCAACATAGTGACCAAAAAATTAAGTGACTTTTTCTATTGCATCCAACTACTCCAAGGAGCAAACTATCGGTTGCCCACTTAGAAAGATGGCTTCATATAATGAAAGCAATTCCTCAAATTCAAGATGAGTAATCTGCAACAGAGTAGTAACTTATATAGGGAAACAATAGTTCAAATGAAGCAGATAAGGGCTCCCTTACAGGGCTCCCTTACAGAATCATCATGATTTTTGTGATTTTCAAACATATTAAAAGAAATGGTGTATTCTACTGGGAAGAATGAAAAATGCAGAAAATGTTTACTAGATTTTTTTCTGAAATATTACCTGTTAAAACAACTGAATGTCCATTCTCCATAACACTGTGTAAAATATTTGAATCATCGTTTTCATCATTTTGTAACATTGTAATACCGTGTTCTTGAAGTATCTTCAGAGATTCCGTTGTGAAAGTGCTGGGATCTACTGTGACATGTTGCACAAGTTGTTCATTTTCTTTTTCAATTCTTTCCTGATCAGTTTCTTCTTCGATTTGGTCTAAAAATGTAAGTAGTATTGTTCAAGTGAAAAAAATTTTGAGATGTCTTTGGAAATAAAAATGTACAAATTTTCTTAAAATTTTTTACTTACGACTTTCTGAACCATTTTGACTGCTTTCGTCCAACCCATTTGCAGAGTTCTCCAATTCTTGAAGAACTTTTGAATCTGGAAAAGTGACATTAAAATAATTAATTGTCTTCACCCGATAAATAAAATGCTTGTACAACAAAAATTGTGCATTACTATAATGCGCCGTTGAAATAATTTTGTGATTTTTGTTCAAGGATTTAACAACAAATGTTAAAGGGGATTATGTTAGGAGCTATCGCAATATTTTTTGGCAAAAGTTGACAAACATATTCTTCTTCACATTACATAACAAAGCATTATCGATAGAGTGCTGATTTTTCCCACAAGTATGAAGAATACAGAGTCTGATTGAGGTACTCTATTTTCATATTCCAATGTTTCTTTCAAGTACAGACACATGGATTTAGACGTAAGTAGTTTCTGAATTGATGGATACTACACAGTAAGTTCTTTCTGTTGCAGTATATACAAGGGATGTAGGTGGGAGGTGATCATCAGTAATATGAGTATTTCATGAAATTTTCAAAGTTGACGCAAAAACATGGATAACGGGTAAATTCAACCTAAATGTTAACAACTTCTCAAAAGAAAGAAAATTTGACATCTTTGTTTGGTTATGTGATGAAATTCTCATAATAAAGTATTTCTTGAATACATTATGGATTTTCATTAAGTATAGGCCGAAATCCTCACATCCTCATCATCAGTCACCATCTCAAAAACTAGAGTGTTGCCAACCCATTTCTATATCAGGGAATTTGAAAATGGTATCATTCAAAACATGTACCATGAAGGACAAGCCTAAGTAAGTGAGACCGATGAAATCTAGACCGGTGAGATCTCTTCTTACGAAGACGCCAATATATGAGGCTCCCACAGGCGATCAGTTGCAAAGCCAAGCTTCGACACTGACCCCTGACAAGATTCATCTTTTGTCTTTCACTACAACGCAACTAGCTGGAAACCAAAGCCCAAAAACAACATATTTATGATTCTACATCACACAGCTCCGTTTGGACCCGCCATAGGTCTGATAAGTTGTACTAAGTTGAAACACAAATGCATTGACGGATTCAACTGTCGTCAAAAGACAAGCTTAAGTGAGTGAGGGCAATGCGTTTGTGGTTCAGCCTAACCCCACTGATGAGACGATGGTCTAGCACCACTATGGCGGATCAAAACAAGACTGTCTGGCTTTCCAACTGACTGCCTTGGGGCGCCTCGTTTATCTTTGATATTCGAGGACTGAGTTATCTGTGGATCCCATAAATGGTGTCTTCATAAGAGGAGATACCGTCGCCTCACTTACTTAGGCTTGTCCTTTAAGGACAGTTGAGTCCAGCAATGCATTTGTGGCCTAGAACCAGTAATGAGGCAAATGGCAGATCGAAACAGCACTGTCTGGTGTTGGTATCACAAATGTGTTGTGTTTGGGCTGCAGTTTCCAGGTGTACCATGTTTTTACACATATTCTTTATATTTATTATTAGAAGGTATATTTAAATTGATTGGGTGGAAAATGGCTTCTTTATACTATATACGGAAGTTCACGTTGCATAAGTTGAAAGCAGTTGAAGCTCAAATTTTAATTAAATGAACAGCTTTCAAGACTACTCAGACTAAATGCAAACTCACCCACAGAATAACTTCCAAAAACTGGGGAACTATTTTCATTATTCTCCAACTCCATTTCATCACTAAACTCCTGCACCTGATTTTCAGAACCCTCATCAGATGCTAATTGCAACACTAAATTCTGAGTAGCGACCGATGTATCAACTATACTTTCTGTCAAGAGTTTTTCTATATCAGGCCTATTGATTTGTTTAGCTATATGAAGAGGTGTCAAGTCAAATTTGTTGACTTCGTTTATGAGAGCTCCGTTTCTCAATAGATGTGCTGCTACTTCTAAGTGACCATTCTGTACTGCCCAATGTAGGGGTGTCATACCCAACTAAAAAAATACAAACAAAAATTAATAAACCAATACTGATTTTCAGAAGTATTTATTATTATTGTAAATAATAATGGGTGGACAATTGCAGAAATAATTCCTGACCCAGAAAAGTCTTTCATAGGTCCAATTCAAATCTTGAAGAACCATAGTATGTTAGGCAGAGTAAAATGAAACACAAGCACGTTCTTTTTGGCATTCAACACACGACTAGACCTTTATTTAACATGACAAATAGACAATGTGAGGTAGATTGCACTCGGTATACATAATTTTAAATTTTCTGATATAATTTATCAACACCCCAACTCACAGTAAAAATAAAATTCATGAAATCATTTTGCCTACCAATTTCAACAATTTATTTTTCTCTGAACATAATCTTTCAGTTAAAATATCTGCAGTTATAACATCTGTAGACAAATGTTCAACTTTCAGAAGTAGAAATCAATTCTCTCACAAAATGGTGACAAACATCTATATGTTCATTGCGGTTATGATAGACTGGATTGACTGACAAATGTATAGCACTTTGATTGCCATTAAATAAGGTAATACAAGATATATCTCCCGTCAATTCTGCTAACAAACCTTTAAAATATGTAGGTTCTTTTGCGGCTTCAGATATTGACATGTATTTAGCTTCCGTGCTTGATGAAGCTACGGTTCTTTTCTTTAAACTTCAACAAGAGATAACAGCACCACAAAGTTTAAATGCATACCCTGTATAGGTTTTGCAATCTACAGAGTTACTAGCCTTACTAGCCCAATTGGCGTTATCTACTAAAAATTTCAAACAAGAATTCATTGTTTTTTTTTCAGATATCTTAACATTAACTTGGACTCTTTCAGTGACTTTCATCATGAGAATAATTGACCTGACTCAAAAAGCTTATAGTAAAAGATTTATCAATATACATTGACGCAATGTAATAACAGTATTTTTTTTCTATCAAAATCTCTTTTGATGCCCAAACATTCAATTCTACCTAAATCTTTAACTTGAAACCTTAAGTTTAATTCCTTTTCAAGCTTATTGGCTTCATTTTCATTTTTAGAAAAAAATGAAAAAAATTATCTACACATACAACGATAGTAATCATATGATTTTTCTTCTTTATGGAACTACAAGATTTGTTCCATGACTGTTCGAGCCAATAAATGGCTTAATTAAATTTTAAGCATTTATTAACATCAGCAATTGCAAATACACCTTTTCTTTTAAATATCCATTTTAACATCTAAGTAATGAAGATCTAGTCTTAATTTAACGGAAAGGGCAAAAAGCAATCGTAAACTCAAATATCCTATTACATGAGAAAAACTTTTTACATAATCTATTCCGTGTTTCTATAAGAAACCTTAAGCTACTAACCTAGCGTGATAGCACACTTCATCTTCAATTTTGACTTTTCTTTCAAAAACCCACTTACACTTCACTATAGCGGTCGTAGAATTTCTTGGAAAAGCCACTACTTCCCAAGCATCATTTTCTCCAAAACTCTTCAATTTCTCTGCCATGGCTTATTTCCACATATCTGCTTCTGGTCTCTGGAGAGCTTCTTCTACCGTTATTGTATCCTCTTGGTCGATTTTATCTGAATTTTTCAAACATATCCATGTCAAAAAACCTTAAAAAATTTCAGGTTTCAGCTATCTTTGTGATTGTCAACTTCCTAAAGATGATATTTTACTAATTTCACTCATGTATTCTTCGTCATTGGTGTCTTCTAAATAACTGTTTTCATTTTAAGAGTTTCTAATATCTTCTATACATTGCTTGTTTACTGTGATATCCCCCACTGAACCTGCTAGTTCCTGGCCTGTACTTACTGGTTTTGTTCTTGGGTCCTGAAGCAACACTTCTATTGAGTGAAGAAATAATTGTGTCAACTGCTTCAGCCCAGAACCTTTTATCGAGCTTTGCATCAAATATTAAACATCTAGCTCTTTCCACATCTGTTCTATTTAGACATGAAGCATAACCATTTTATTCTGGTGTATGTTTTTGATGCAATAGCTAGCTTGCTTCCAAAATTTTTCACAGGTTGCTGCACAGAATTCTCCACCAATGTCACTTCTTAGAGTTTACATCTTCTTTTAAACTGCTTGAAACATTCAAATAACCCTCATCTTTTGTTTCTGAAAAATAGATGAAAACAGATAAACATCCTGGAAATATATATTTCCTAGTAATATGACCTCCGTTGCACCACAAAGAACTGTATGCATAATTTCTAGTATGCTACTTGCACGAGATCCTTTCTCTGGAAATGGTAGTCTAGTCTGCTTGCTTTCATTACAAATTTCACAACTTTGTTTACTAATGTTGATTCCTTCTCTACATATCATTTCTTCTACAGCACCATTTGTCATTTTCTTCAGGTCTTTTTCATTGAAATATCCTAGTCCCCGATGCCAAATATCTCCTGACAACAGTTCTTTCAGCTAGTAGATACTGATATGCTATTTCTGTTTCCAATTTGTACATATTATTAACCAGTTTTGCTGTTCCTTTTATTTGGCCATTTCTGTTCTAAATTCTGCAACCACCATTTTCAAAGATAACACTGTTTCCATTTTCATTCAAATGACTCACAGACAATAAATTTGTAGATACTCGAGGAATGTATGAAACGTCTTTAATCAAGACTTGAATTCATTCATTATGTACAATTGTTGTAATGTTCAAATTTCCGGTGCGCTCAACTTATACTTTTGAGCAATTAGCAAGCACAATTTCGTTCATTCCTTATAGATTCACAGTTTATGTTAACCAATCCATTTTACTAAAATGCTGTCCACCCAAAAACACTGCACTGAAAATATTAGCACTGTTGGCAGTTTCCAAATGGTGTTTTATTTCAAATCATCTGAAGGGACAATTCATTCAGGCCAGTCTCAGAATATCATTCCTTGAACTAGGCTGAACAAAAAAACAATAGGTTCGTAACTTTTCATGTATAGTCAGTGGGCATACTTGAAGACTGGCTATATCGAGTCATCTGAAGGAACAATTCGTTCAGCCCAATCTCAACTCCCCACACTGTAGGTTAATGGACTGACACCTATCAGAAAACAACTACTTCCCTGGCTAATACCACGAAGGGCGTTGGATTATATCCGACAGGTGTCATTGTAGGATTCTTCACTGAAGTTATTCCTGCATATGCTGTTGGCGATACAACTGCCGCAATAGATTTTCAATTATTGGAACACAATTGCAGGGCAATTGCAGGGCTGTTTGGCCACTCGTCAGTGCAAGATAATGTCTATCATTAAGATAATGTCGATGATTTCCAAAAATTGAAAAATGAATTTATTAAGAGTATCATTTCTCTAACTAGGCTGAAGCAAACGACAAACAAAAACAAACAAAAACTTCAAAATCGTGCAATGAGAATCACTTTGAGATGTAACAGATATACACCAATATCATTGATGTTGGGAACATTACAATGGCTGTCAATAGAAAATAGACTTATTTATTTAACTATGAGTTATATCTTCAAAATGTTGCATAATCTTCTTCCATCATATTTTCACAAATATATAACTATTTTTGGCTATACTTGAATGGTTTTCTTTTAGCAAAACAATGGAAAATATAACTCGAAATGTAAATACCTAGTGTGTACGTTTGAATTTAAAACAAAACAAATATATTAATACTATCGAAGGAGCTGCTAATTACTATATATAAGATTATACTTTGTGAATGTAGATTAGGATTACCTATTTCAAATAAAGATTATTATTACAACATATTTTTCATCGCCCCATCTGCCCATGAACGAAGTAATCAACCGCATATCCGAAATTTCACCAATTCCTTGTATAAGGAAAGAAAATATTTCACATGTCGTCAGTGGACATACTTGAAGACTGGCTATAAAACAAATCACCTAAAGGGACAAATCGCTCAGGCAAGTCTCAACTACCCACACTGTAGGTTAATAATGAAATTCCATTATAGTAGGCAATAAATTCTCAGAAATTGAACAGAAATCTAAAATATCTTACCAAATCTTTGCAGTCTATGTCGGCTCCATTTTTAGTGAGGGCGTCAACAATTTGCAAATGTCCCTCATAGGCAGCCATATGCAAAGGAGTTCTATCCACTTTCGTTCTAGCATCTTTAGATATCCCTGCTCTCAATAATATCTCAGTAATTTCTAAATGATTATTTTGTGCGGCTAGATGTAGAGGACTAGTGCCTAGCTGCAAACAAAAAAAAATCACATTCAACAATAAGAAAATAATTTGGAGTTTGACATTTTCAGATTGATATCATTTGTAATTAAGCTTGCATGTAGCAGACATGTTTGTACTTCATTATTCAATTGAACTAAAAATTTAATCAAAACTTTATCTGAAGTGTATGTTTCAAATCTCTCCTAAAATATCTCCTTTCAAATATAATTCATTTATGTACGTTAATGAATTTGAGTTGAAAAAATAAACAGGTTTCAAACTGTTTTCTAATTCTTCTACATTACAGCAACACCCTAGATAGCCTAAACCATAATTTCTAGAACTAGAATTCAAACTACTCAGTTTTTATTTCTCTTAAGACGAACTTTCTTCATGGGTAAAAAACATCTGGACCCATATGATCAGTCAACAGAGCGATATTTTTGTATATTGAATGACAAGACATTTATGGTATTTGTCATCATAAAAGATCTAACTGTTTTCACATATGATCAATAAAAACAGAACCTAATCATGATCACTGTTGAATACACCATTATTATGTCGATGAGAGTGTGCTGTGAACTCTTCAAAGATAATGGAGATTACAAACAGGATTCAAAAATGTTACTTAAAGTTGATGAGTTTGCAGAAGATACCTAAAACTTGACAAATCTTTCAAATAAAAGGTGACAAGTAACAAATCTGTCCTAGGCTAACTGATCATTCTTTTTCTTGCTATCGATAATACCAAAGCAGATAGCATACACACAACGAATTTATATTATCAAACACACCTCTTGTACTGAAATCTTGTTGAATTCAATTTTGAATGAGAATATTTTTGTCGAATATTATTACGTGAATCTATTAGGTTGTTTCTATTAGTTTTTTTTCAGTGTCAATGTCATGTTTTTGTAGCTCCAATAAATATTTATTCTAGTATGTAGTGGTATTTACTGATCAATAGAGAATTTTCAACTCTATACATCAATGCTGTTCATTTTCTCCAAATTTCAATTTTTTATCTCTTCTCAGAATAAAACTTCTAAAACAACCTAATGAAAATTATTCATTTTAATTATTCATCACAAAATTTATTGCAGTTATTTTTTAATCCAATGAAAACTTGAGGAGACAGTATTAAATCTGTTATTGAAATAAATTTTTAGTGAAACAAATGATCTATAAAATACATGAATTCAGTCCCAATTCAGTTTAATTATTATTACCCAGTCAGCAGTGAATGGTGCACCCTTTGTCAACAAATTCTTAACTTGATCAACATCTCCATCTAATGCAGCTTTTAATAATTGCTTTCCTAACTCATTCACAGAAACGGACGTGTGGGTTACCAGCCGTCCCTCCCAATCAATCTAAAAATAAATAAATTTTAGTTTGTATTGTTTTTTTGACTATTGTTCCTTACAGGTATGAGTTCAGCACCATTAAGTGTTATGGTGTCCGTGTTGTTATTAGACACAGCTGAAATGATATATTTTGCTCTCTGGACACTTTGACCGTCTTCTACAACTCCTCCGCCGAATTTTATCATGTCCTAAAATAATAGAAAATATAAAAAAAGACATTTTTCAGTTTCGAAAAGTAAGGTTAGGTGCAACGGATATTGTAGCTTTTTAAATTCTTTAATAACAGGAAAATCAAATCATACTCCATCTTAGAAACAGTGAAGATGGGATTTCCTGTTCCTGTGACTGGCGGAAGTGAGTAGCCATTTCCATTGATTTTTTCGAATAATATGAAAAATAGGTCATTTTAACTTACCCTGTATCGTTTAGGAACTGACTTTAATTATTTTTTCTCAACAATTTCCTTGAGAAATCATTCCTAGAAAAACGTAAACATGTGCTTTAACTAATGGCTTTTATGATTTGAGTGCTCGCCATCTGGCGGTTTTATATTTCGACTTGCTTGGCGGACTATTCAAATTAAATTTAAAAATGTCCATAGTTCGTGAACACTACTATAAACAATTTTATATCAAGTTTGCAGACCATTTTTGAAAATATTCCAATTTATCTGGTTCTCAGTGATGAAGGTTATCGAAAATTTCTAGAAACTATCCTGAATACAGAGGTTTCAAAACTTTATTCAATAACGAAAGTCGTGTTTTGTTACGATTCTTTAGACCCAACAGAGGATGGTTGTGTTACTATTATGTGGTGCCGATAACGACTTCCCTCTATGTCGGATGTCATGTTTTGAGTAAAGTCCAAACAGTGTGAGCTAAAAATAAATTTATGTTTGAATAAATACTGAAGTGAAAGATGAGAGGACTTGGCGGCCCCCTACGCCAGTAAACCAGCTGAATGTCGACTGTCGACGGATTCGATGAGGTCGTCAGTTCTATAAAATATATGAACATGTGCATTTGTGTTATTTTTATTCAAAGGCATCCCGATAAGGAGGCGACTGGTAAAAAATAGTGTTTCAGTTAAAAAAAGAACTGAATGAAAAACTTGGAGGCAGCATTGCCTCGAGTACGACTGCTGCGCCCTCGGACGAAGCTTCTCTTCACTATGGACAGGGGGAGCCTGGACAAATGCACTCGGATGAGTAGCAACGGCCATAGAAATTAGATAGAGAGAGAATTTCATTAATAGTCAAGACACAGTATAATTCAATAACAGCCAAAGTGGCTCAAAACGCAACGAGAGTTTTGTTAAAAAAGAATTAAAATATTGAAAGTGTCAAGAAGATACGAGTACCTTGCCGTGTATCTTTCATAATCTCAAGCATTTTGAAAGTACGATCATACTTCATTATTTCAAGGGCAGCTTTCTGGAATACACCCAGAAAGTGACAATATAGTCAAAAAAATGTTATGCTTATATCAGGTCATGACCATTCTCAATATTCTCATACATAACGTTTGGAAAATAGAAAAATGCATCGTCCCAAGGGACATATCCATTCGCAACGTATATGCACGGATGGAATCAAAGCGAATGATTTCTTGAAATTCGCAGATCTTCAATTTTATCGGTACTAGCAGAAGGCGTATATGTAATCTGACATTTGAATATCCATGATTTATATGTATAAATTGCCTGCGAATAATGGTAGCATAAACTCAAAAATATCCAAGATTTAATGGATCCTCCAAACGAATAATACACAGAACTAGACACATTAGACGCAAAAATGAGAGTGGTTCAGAAATACGACGACTATCGGAACCGGAACAAGTCGAAAGTCAACGGTTAAATAAAAACAAATTTCAGTCAACTGTTTTCGCAAATCGTTTTGATTTCTTGTGAATTCCATTAAATTTATTTTATTTTATTCATCATCAGTTTCACATGTCTACCCAAATGCATTACTTTCACAAATTCGCAATTAAATAACTCAAAACACAGCAAAACTCAAAACAAAATAACCCATTTGTCACACTCAGTTGTTTCGATGAGCTGTTCGTTTGAGTAATGCCATAATCGGTAAGACCTCAGAGTAAGGCTTGATAGGTAGAATCGGGTCTGGTGTAAAGTGAATCAATTTCAAAACACTTTTCCCACCATATACCTCAGGTATCTATCAAAATCTTATAGGGGTCTATTTGGCTATACATAGCAGTTGTTTCAAAGTTATCTTATTATATCCCTCCTTCCTCTCTAATTCCTACAATACATCTTTGATTCATAATCATTGACAGTTTTTTTGCAATAGCTCTTGAAAGAAAACTATATCCGCATTCATTCATTTCACCATTGCGGCTGCAGTATTATGTGCCTGCCTTTCCCTTTCTACGCTAGTAGCAGATTGTAATATCTTTTGCAGTATAATAATATTCTGAAGTCGATTCTGAGAGGAAATAATCATGTAAAATATTGGTTGGAGAATTAGGGATCTTCTTGAATCGACAAGCCAGTAGTTATGTGGTGTAAATATAAATCGAACTCGAGAGTGGGGCACAAACCACTAAAGTGGTTTGAAGTGGGGGACGGGCACTAGATTTGGGCTCTGGCGTCCGACGATAACTTCACGGAAGTGCAAAACTAAGTGTTCAAACTCGAAACTCGCTCTGTTACATTCATTTTGGGTCGAGGCACGCTTTCCGGCTTCACCCCGATTTCTTAGTCTTCTTAATTATCGGGTATATTGAGTATAGGAATGACTTGTGTTAGAGAAACCATTATTATGTTGATAGAAATGTGTCATGAACTCTTTTCTGAAGACATTGATGTGCTGATTCAAAAGTCGAGAATTTCACCGTTTTTTTTCAAATACGTAAACTGAAAACTAAAAAATCTGTCTTCTGCTAACATCAATCTCGGAGCTATCCGATTACTTTTTTTTCTCGCTATCGTTAATACCGTACACGGAGCAGACGCAACTGAGACAATATATCTCCATTATAGAACGCTTGCCGAGCGAAGCGAGCGCACAGATTTGTATTAAACGAACAAACCTAGTGTATATGAGATGAAATGAAAATTAAATAAACCGTTGTCATCCCTTCAATATTTATTGTATCAATTTCAGAGAATTCAAAAAGTTATAAAAAAAGGTGATTTATAGCTGAATAATTACAAGTCTATATAACAAGATTCAGGTAATTTCATTAAAAAATAGTTTTGGTTTATGTAACTTTTTCATTTTTCAGTGGAAGTATATCCAACTTCTTATATCCCATTTAAAAATGTCCACTTATCAGAGATACTCCGACGAAAAATCTCTGGGTATTGACAATAACTCTGCCACATGCAGTAAACGAATAGGTTCTATCAATCTTTCTGTTATTGAAAATTCTCCCAGAGATAGTATCAACGATACTTTCACAACTGCCATTGAGGATGATGAAGACGAAACCCAATATTTGTCAATACTTGAAACCACTAGAGACGTAACTCTTGAAGATTTGCATAATTTAAATATGACCAATTCAAAAATTAAAATTCCCGAACTAGAATACTCGAGTGGAAGCGGAAGTAGTGATTTGACTGATAGTGGAGAGCAGCAGGTGGTTATTTTCAAGGTAGAAGGTTCAGATGATCTTTATGGCATTCAGTTAGCACAAGATGAAGAAGGGAATATTCAAAAGTACCAATTTCAGTTCAGGTTCGTTATATAAAATATGTGGGATGACACTGAAGTGCTTGGTTGTGAAAAATTTTCAGTTTGACTTATTTTTGTCACACCGGTCTACTTTCACAGGTATCGCTAAATGCACACATACTGATTTTGGACGGCCGTTGTTGGTTGGACCTGGCACACACGCCGACCGGTGATCGACGCCGATCACCGGTAGGTAGGCATATGTGCCAGGTCCTGTTCCCACATGTGGTTCAATAATGGAATTTAGACGACTGGTATAAAATCGGCTGTCCACAATCGGTGTGTGTGCAATTAGCCTATGGTCACTCAAAAGTTGAAAAATCCACTTACTATTCCAGCAACTCAATTTCGGTGGAAAAATATTTATACACTTCCAATTTTTTTTCATGCAAAATGTTCAATTTCCTCAAGAGTTGTAACTTCAGCAAACTCCATAATACTTGTTTATTAGACTAACACTTTTAGAACATACTTTTCATTATTATTGAAATTATTTTTCTTCAGTAATTCGCTGAGGTATTGAAAGGTCTGTGGAATTGGGACGCTAGGAAATAAAGAACTAACATCGAAGGAAACCAAAATCTCATCTTTTTGCAGAACAATGTTTTTTGTATGTTGTATGAACTCTAAGGAGTTTTTGATACCAAAACCTGGTTCCGCAATAGGCAAGCTTCCAAATTCCCTTATGAGCCATTTTGCTATTTGGTAGGTAGAAGATCCAATAGCTGACACAATGGGATGCATTGATTTTCCCGGTTTGTGGATTTTTGGGAGGCAATATAGTTTTGACACCGTTGGGTTGGAAACTTGTAAGTTTCTTTCAGTTGAGGAGTAAGTATGTTGTCGCATTTCTTGAGAACGTATTTTACTTCGCCAATCATCTTTGGTAACAGGTTCCTGGACAATTTGGCATACGCTCCGTTTGTGATGAGAGTATTGATTTTTCGTAGTAGTACAATTTATCCATACTTACCCCTCAACTGAAACGGAACTCACAAGTTTCCATCCCAACGGTGTCAAAATTATATTGTCTTCCAAAAATCCACAAACCGGGAAAATCAATGCACCCCCATCGTGTCAGCTATTGGAACTCCTACCTACCAAATAGCGAAATGGCTCACTAGGAATTTGAAAGATTGCCTATTGCGAAACCAGGTTTTGGTATCAAAAACTCTTTATAGTTCATACAGCATACTAACATTGTTCTGCAAGAAAGTGAGATTTTGGTTTCCTTTGATGTTAATTCTTTATTTCCTAGCGTCCCAATTCCACAGACCTTACAACACCTCAGGGAATCACTAAAGAAAAATAATTTCAATAATACAGAAATTGATGAATTTGTTTCACTCACTAATTTGTGTATAAAACAAAACCGTTTCCAGGTAGAAGGTTGCTTTTATGAACAATAGGAGGGAACAGCTGTGGTATCTCTTTGCCCCCTACTGAATTGCAAAATGGGTAGTAATATATAATTTTACTCTGCACCTAAATATATAAACCTAGGTGTGCAC